GTTTCCAATGCATTCCTATGGGAAATGGTGTTTCGCATAAAGTTTTTTTCGCATAAGGTTTTTTTTTTTGGAACCAATTAAAAACATTATGTGAGGCACCACTGTAAATGTACTTACTCAGGAGCAGAAAGCAGCACCAGGCAGTCCAAAGCCGCCTCCTACCACTCACTCTAACCGTTGGGGCGAAAGAGCTACAAAGAGGCAGCCTCTTCGCCTACCAGTGGTTAGCAAATTTGAATTCCCTGCCTTTTTTCCCTGCCTTTTTCCTGTCACAACCCGAAGCTCCGGCCGCAAGTCGAAGCAAAATTTTGTGGCCGGAGCTGGTCGCAACTCGAAATGGTCATAAGTTGGGACGTTTGTAAGTAGATTCACCACTGTAATCCACAATATAGGTGCTCTAGAGGAATAATCATATCTGTCTTTCCAAAATCTATCCTATGAAGAAAAATGTGCAACTTTTTCTTTTCCTTGATATGTTCTGATGGAAAAAAGCCGAGGTGGTGGCAGGGGGAATTCTGACCCACTAGTATTGGACAGGTACACACAAATGGTTTTGTTTTATAGGCACCACCAGTAGAATGGAACAGTCCAGGGCCACACCACACACTATTTCAGTCTGATTTTTGTTCTGAGACTAGCTTTGGTGATAACAGACTTGACCTATGAATAGCAGAACTGAGCAGAATGCAGTTTTCATGGCTGTGTAATTAGGATAAGTTTTTCCATAGTAACCTGGAAGAGAACAATTCAGGTAGTTTAAGTGGTTTGGTTGAAATCATACTTAGAGGAGACCCACTAAAATAAATCAGATTTAATTTAGTCATATTGATTTTGGTGGACTTAGTGCATAACTAAATCTAGACCCAAGCCTTAATATGTATTTTTTCATCAAGAAGTTGCTTGCCAAGTGCACATGAGGAATCCACTTGATATTAAAGAGTTTTGTCCACAGAATGCTTTAGCATTCTCAGTTATTTCAAGCAGAGAGGCACTACTAAGAGGAGCTGCGATTAATTAAGCTACGTACATAAAACTTAGGCCAGAAGGTTCTTTCATTTCCCACCTCTTGTCTACTATCATAGAATTGTAGAGCTGGAAGAAAGACCAAGGGTCATTGAATCCCGATCCCTGCAAGGGCAGGAAATCCACAGCCAAAGCATTCCTAATAGATGGCCAGCCAACCTTTGCTTAAAAATTTCCAGTGAAACAAAGTCCAGCACCCTCTGAGGCAGTCAGTTCCGTTGCAGAATAGCTCTCATTCATCCTAATGTTAGCCAAAATCTCCTTTCTTGATCTTGAATTCATTACTTCTGGTCCTGTCCTCTTGAGCTACACCAATTTTTTGAAAAAAAGGCTGCTCCATCTTCCATGTGACAGCCTTCCAAATATTTGAAGATGGCTATTATACCACCCTTTGTGATCTCTAGTCTAGGGGACACAGGGAGCTATTTTCCTGCATCTGGGCCTTCCTTGAGCTGCTTTACCTTGAGAGGAAAGCTCCCGCCCCCCGAAAACCAGTAGTAGCTTTTAGTTTTGAATAAGGCCTTTCCTAGGTTTGGAACAGCTCAAGAGCAGCAGGAAGGTAACAGAATTGTTCCTTCCAGTCACTACAGTGTGTGTGTGTGTGTGTGTGGGGGAGATGGGGTCTTCTCCACTCAGATTTTTAAAGGAAAATATTTTTGGGTTGGGGGCATAGGAGCGGGTGTGAATGGCCCTCAAATATGTCTACCTTATTTTAAAGAAATAAAGCAAGTTCTTAATTTTATTTCTTTACTAACAAATGTACCCATGGTAGTTGTGGGTTTTTCGGGCTCTTTGCTCACAACAAATGTACCCATCTTCACCCTTCCAGTATTATCTAACTGCTTTTTTTTCTATTTTCTTATTCCCAATTCTTTCTTTGCACTGTTCTCTCTCCCCCCCTCACCCCATCCCTCATCTCCCCCCTCTCTTTTCACTCTGGTGCTCAGTTTTGCTTGTACAGTGGTGCCTCGACTTACGAACGTCCCAACATACGACCATTTCGAGTTATGACCAGCTCCGGCCGCAAAATTTTGCTTCTACTTGCGACTGGAGCTTCAAGTTATGAACCAAAAAGGCAGGGGAAAAAGCGGGTAATTCAAATTGCTAACTGTTGGTAGGCAAAGAGGCTGCTTCTTTGTAGTTCTTCTGCCCCAGCAGTTAGAGAGAGTGCGATTGGAGGAGGCTTTGGACTGCCTGGTAAGGTAAGGTGCAGCTTTCTGCTTTTTAAAAACTGTTCTGGGTGGGTTTTGCAGTGTGGTTTTGGGCTGGGTGGTGGGATTATGTTTTTATGTTGTGATGGGTTTTGCAAGGTTTGTTTGGTTTTTTGCCCCCCCCCAAT